AATAGAGAGCCAGTGTGGTGTAGCATCTGGAGATCTAAGGTTTCATTCTCCATTCTGTTTGGAAATCATGCAAAAACAATAGCAACAGCAACAACAACATAGAGAGCCTGCCTAGTTTAGTGGTTTGAGCATTGGACTGTGACTCTGGAGATCGGAGTTTAATTCTCCACTAGGTTTGAAAACCATAAAAAGTTAATAAGAACAATAATAAAGAGCCAGTGTGGTGTAGCATCTGGAGATCTAAGGTTTCATTCTCCACTCTGTTTGGAAATCATGCAAAATAATAACAGCAACAAGAACAACAATAGAGAGCCAGTGTGGTACAGTGGTTTGAGCATTGGACTGTGATTCTGGAGATTAATTTCCCCACCATGTTTGGAAATCATGAAAATCATCATCATCATCATCACCACCACCACCACCACCTGCATGGTGTAGTGGATTGACTATGGGCCTTTGCAGACTGCCAGAAATAGTGCACATTAAATTGAGGCACTGCCCTGGCTCAGTGCTAGGGAGTCATGGGAATTGTATTTTTTTCTGAGATATTGAGCCTTCGTCAGAGAGCTCTGGTGCCACAATAAATTACAGTTCCCATGATTCCCTAGCACTGAACCAGGGCAGTGCCTCAATTTAATGTCCACTATTTCTGGCAGTCTGCAAAGGCCTTATGATTCTGCAGATCTGGGTTTATTTACCCACTGGAGCATAAATACCCACTGGGTGACTTTGAGCAAGTTGCTCTCTTTCAGCCTCAGTGGTTGGCAAGGGCAAACCCTCTCTTAAGAAGCTTGCCAAGAAAACCCTGTGAATGTGGCTTTAGGGTTGCCATAAGTCAAGAATCACTTGGAATCAAACAGCAACAGTAAAAATCTTCTGTGTGTGTAGTGAGCTAGTCTTGCAACAAAATCAACCCAAAGTTTTTCTGTGGTATCTTAAAGCTTATTTTATTTTTCTTTGTTTTTCTTTCTTTCTAATTTTGTTGTTGTTGTTTTGTGTGTCTTCAAGTCACTCCTGAATTATGGCGACCCTAAGGCAAGTCTATCACAGGGTTTTCTTGACAAGATTTGTTCAGGTGTGTTTTTTGCCAGTGGCTGAGAGAGCGTGACTTGCCTAAGGTCTCCCAGTTGGTTTCCATGGTCTAGTTGGGATTCGAATTGCTGGAGATTATCACACGGGCAAAAGAAATGGGATACAGCGCTATGCTCCCATAAATATCGCATGATAATATGATGCTTTCCACATAATGTTGTGCAATGTCATTATTGCATGATTATCCTGTGAAGAAGGCAGCAAAATCGTGCTGCTTTTTATTTTTGGGAAAATTCTGAAAATAAAAAGCAGTGTGATTTTGCTGCTTTATTCACAGGATAATTGTGCAATAATGACGGAGTCGTGTGAAAAGCATAGTGTTGTTGCGGGATATTTGCAGGATATTGCAGGGTCATAGCACTACTATCCCATTTCTTTTGCCCGTGTGATAAACTCCCCAGTCTCCAGAGTTATAGTCAAACCACTACACCATCCTGGCTCTATTTTGTACTCAAGACTAATATCTTATGAAGAGGTCTGTTGTTGTCTGAAGCTTATCCTTTTTGTTATTTCTGGTTTTGCTGACATACATGGTTTTGCTGACAACCTCAAAAGAGTAACTGTGCTCCTTTCCTGTGCTTTTGCTGCTACAGAGAGATTTGCGGCACCATTTGATGGCTTGTTGGCATCTTCCCTGTCAGTGAGGCGGTGAATAAGCTCCGGATTTAACTCCAAATTTTCAGTGAGCTCTCCCGAGTGCTGAACCTACATTGCTGATAGTGTTCTGTACCCTGAGATTAAAACTTGAACTGAGACCCATTTCACACTCCTGGGTTTTCTGTGATTCCAGTTTAGCTATCATGGTACCGTTCTATGGAATCCTGGGATCTGCAGTTTAGAGACAGGCATTTAGAATTCTAAGCCAGGGAGTTCTAGTGCCTCACCAAAATACAAACACCAAGATTCCATAGGATGCAGCCATGGAAGTTAAAGTGGAATCATAGTACTATAAATGTGTAGCGTGACAGGATCTCCAGAGTGGATTTAACATGAAAGATGGCTTGAGTCATAGTCTTGAAAAAAAAGCAGGATATAAATAAAGTTGGTGGTAGTAGTAATAATAAAAATAATAGTAAAGAACTCCCTATGGCTGCATCTGCACTGCAGAAAAGGTGTAGTTTGACACCACTTTAACTGTCATAGCTCAATGGTATGGAATCCTGGGATTTGTAGTTTGTTGTAACACCAGAGCTTTCTGAGAAAGCTAAATATCTCACAGAATTGCAAATCCCAGATTTCCATAGCATTGTGCCATAGCATTTAAAGCAGTATCAAACTGCATTATTTCTGCAGTGCAAATGCAGTGTGTGATTGGCATTGGAAGAGAAGTGCAGTTGCACTTTCTTAATTAAGTGCAGAATATTGGCAAGAAATTGATCACTCTATGTATCTCTTCCCAGCACTACATCTCTGTACCAGGAAGGGCTTGGTGTGTGCATGTGGTGCATGCCTTCAAATCATTTCTGACTTATGACGACCCTAAGGCGAACCTATCCTGGAGTTTTCTTGGCAAAATTTGTTCAGAGGAAGTTTGCTATTGCCTTTCCCTGAGGCTGAGAGAGTGTGACTTGCCCAAGGTCAACCAGTAAGCTTCATGGTCAAGCTGGGAATCAAACCCTTGTCTCCAGAGTCATAGTCCAATACTCAAACCACTATGCCATGCCGGCTTTACCAATATCCAAAAGGAAAAAAAAAAAAAAAGCTGGGGGGGGGGAAGAGTAACAGTCAACATTGCTGGTTGGTGCAAGTTTTAATTTGCATTGGAAATTCCTATTCATCCATTGAATGCTGGAAATAATGGATAGTTAGGTTGTTTAATCTTGAATTGACAACAGAATAAATATGATGTTACTTGGCTTGCCAATTAGGGTGTGTCTGACTTTCTTTCTGCTCTTTCCTTCTCTCCAGGGAAGATCTTGGCTAATTTGCCCTTGGTGTCATCTAGGTGATAGTCCAAAGTGCCAGGTGAGCAGTGTGCCCACTAGCAGGGAGTGAAAGGTGTGGTGATGCTTGGTGGAAAATGAAACCCAGGTTGGAATTCAGTGTTGCGGTTTGTTACACCCTTCTGTGGAAACAGAGGAAGGGCCTGGATTTGTCAATGGAAAAAGGAAAGCCTGCAGCATATGTTCTCAAACTTGACAGAGTGCCAGGTTTCCATTGCTTACTCAGCATTCAGCACTTGGGTTGCTCATCTGTAAGTGCTTTTTCAAGAGAAGGCTAGGAAATTTCTGAATCTTGACTTCTTATCATTAAGAGCAGATAACGAAATAACTAGAGCCAGTGTGGTGTACTCTAGAGACCAGGGTTTGATTTCTACTCAGCCATGAAGCTCATCTAGGGCAGGTCACATGCTCTCAGCCTCAGGGGAAGGCAATGGCAAACCTCCTCTGAACCAATCTTGCCAAGAAAACCCTATGATTACATGGCCTTAGGGGCGCCATAAGTTGGAAGTGACTTAAAGGCACACAAGAACAAGAACAAAATAACTGTTGTTGGGACACAGAAGCCATGCTGGAGGCAAGAGTTATAAGCCGCCTTGAATCCCTGTCTTGGGAACAAGAAATAGAAATAAAGATGATGATGATAATATATTGTAACCCAATTACATCTTTTGTACATTTGCACAGAAATCACTAAAACAGTTGCAGAATGTGGAAACAAAAGTGTTTATTTTATTCCATTCCTCTAGTTCTGCCAGAGGAAAGAGGATTTTTCTTTAAGCACACATCTAACTTAAGAAATGGGATGTATATTCTGGGCAGTCATTTATGAAAGAATTTGATTGCAAAACTGTCCAATCTTAGGACCATCTAGCCAAGTAGATTTTAGTGTTCCTTTACTCCCATAAACCTTCCAGCAATAAAGTAGTATTTCTTTTAAAATACATGCTAAATTAGATGGATTCGTGTGTCATCTATGAACAATTTTTAATTTTGGTCTAATTTGCACTGCAGAAATAAAACAGTTTGACACTGCTTTAACTGCTCTGGCTCAATGCTATGGAATCCTGGGATTTGTAGTTTGCTGTGCCACCAAAGCTCTCTGACAGGGAAAACTAAATATTTCATAAAACTACTTATCCCAGAATTCCATAGCATTGAACAATGGCAGTTAAAGCAGTGTCAAACTGTTTTAATTCTGCAGTGCAGGTTAGAATATAGATTCCTTTATTCAAGTTGGGAAATCTTGGTTCAACTTTTTCTATAATTTCTGTTATTTCTATATTTTAATCCAATTCTCAAGATTACTTTGGTGCCTTGTGGATTCTCAGATTTTGCTCCTGTGATCCAGCTAGGCATACTTGAAGCATGTCCTTTCAGATATGTTGTGGATGGGAAAACAAATTGCTTAAAACTGTGTCAGAAGCCTAACCTTATCTTATTTTAGAATCTCTTTTTGAACAGGGATTATTTGCATTTTCTTTAACCAAATTCCAGTGATCTCTTTATTTTCTGTTTGTTAATGGAAGGTTAAACAAGTCTTTCAGCTGTTAAATTCCATTTTTTCCCATCCCATATATTGAGCCATCTTGTAATCAAGTTAAAATCAGGGGTAAAAGATAAAAAGGAAGAAAGAGAAGGGTTTGGTGTATATTTTTTTAACCCAGGGTTTCCAAGCTTGAAACAAGGTACTACGGTAATTAATTCTGTATCAGGGTTGCAGATTTCCGCCTCAAGGGCATGAAGTCCAGTTATATAGTCAGCCCTCTGTTTTTACGGGGGATCTGTTCCCCCCCCCCGAAAATGGAGATTTGGTAATATTCAAGCCCCATAGGCTTGAATGGGGTGCAGCCCTGTGGGGGGGTGCCCCATTGATTTTCACGGAGGTTGCCCCTCCATGAATATGCAAAACCGTGGACTTTAAGTCTGCGAGAAAGGAGAGGCGACTGTATTCTTTCCACTAATGGAATATAGAGTGTTTCTCCCCAATCCACTTAATAGTTTTCATGTATATATGATATGGTAACATTTTAAATATTCTCATTTACTCCTCCAAACATTCTTTCTTAGTGGGCCTGTGCCAAATTATATTTATATATGTATTTTGTTTTCTTGTGCCAAAGTTTTCCAGTTTCTGTTGCTAG